AAAGTTACCAACTTATTCACCTCTCAGCCTTTGAGATTCCCACCACTGAAGAGACAAAAAAATCTGTTATCCTGATGTCACTAAAGGGGATGGCCTTTTCTTAAAGGGGCGGATTCCCCAACATGACAGGGTGGACAACCCTTCAAGGGACATGGACAAACTCTTTTTTACTAATTAAAAATATTGTTTTTATTACCAAATGATCAATACACTCAAATTGAGTAATCTCTTATTTAACAAAATATTAATAGGAGAACACAATATTATGATTTGACAATATTCTACTATCATTCAAATTTAATGAGCAGTGCATGGGACATAGCAAAATAACATGCACCCTCTTACACAAAAATAAAAAAGTAGAAAATGTATCTAAAGAGCCAAGTAATGCTTTTGTTATGAATATAAAAACTTAGCCTAATATGACACACCCTTTCATAGTCATGTTTATGTTATCATGGCAAATGAGTTATTTATGTACAGGACACCAAAAGGCCCCCTGATATTGACCCATATATATATATATACAGTGGGTACGGAAAGTATTCAGACCCCTTTAAATTTCACTCTTTGTTATATTGCAGCCATTTGCTAAAATCATTTAAGTTATTTTTTTTCCTCATTAATGTACACACAGCACCCCATATTGACAGAAAAACACAGAATTGTTGACATTTTTGCAGATTTATTAAAAAAGAAAAACTGAAATATCACATGGTCCTAAGTATTCAGACCCTTTGCTGTGACACTCATATATTTAACTCAGGTGCTGTCCATTTCTTCTGATCATCCTGGAGATGGTTCTACACCTTCATTTGAGTCCAGCTGTATTTGATTATACTGATTGGACTTGATTAGAAAAGCCACACACCTGTCTATATAAGACATTACCGCTCACAGTGCATGTCAGAGCAAATGAGAATCACGAGGTCAAAGGAACTGCCTGAAGAGCTCAGAGACAGAATTGTGGCAAAGCACAGATCTGGCCAAGGTTACAAAAAAACCTACACCAACCCTACCCCTAAACCTACCCCTCACAGGAAACTTTGTGCTATTTCAGATTTTCAATACACTCCATTCTATGTGATTTATATGCGTTTTGAAAAGTGGGGACATGGGGTAATGTCCTGAAGTCACCTTCTCCTTGTAATACCTATGTCATACCTTTGTCATTATACAAATTTATGTCCTCATGTGTCACAAAAACACGCGCACAAACATTAGGATTCTTTGATGATTAGAAATATTAAAGAAATATAAATATAATAAAGAACAGCATTTATTTGAAATACTGTATACATCTTTTGTAACATTATAAATGTCTTTAATGTTGCGCTTTTGATCCATTTAATTTAATCCTTCTAATGCATTCATCTCAATAAAACTATTAAATTCTTTATTTTTTTTAAAAACCTCACTGACCCCAAACATTTGAACTGTACTTTAAATATTTGTATTGTTTATACTTTATTCTTGTATTACACTCCTTTGAGATCAACTACAAACATTTTGGTGACACTTTAGTTTAGGGACCAATTCTCACTAGTAGCTTAATAGTATGCACATTAATAGGATATTGACTGATTATTAGTACTAATAAAGCATATTAATATTAATCACTTATTCTGATATAAGACCCCTTAATTACACCCCATACCTGAACATCTACCTTACTAACTATTAATAAGCATTATCTTTAAGCATTATAAATAAGCATAATCTTCCTTATTCAGATTAACTCAGCTTTCTGGACTTCACACATCATTCAGTAATTCAATCCGATATCTACTTCACTTTAAAGCTCATAATGGTGATGTGTGACTGAAATGCATTTGGCAAAATTCTTTAAAGTATTAATCATCTCAAGGATGTGAGCTGTGAGGAAGCTGGAGATTTTTTCCCTCTGTAGGTGAAGGTCACAGAGATGCAGTTTTCCAAACTAAATACTGTATGTGCCACCACCTATGAGCTTTTTATCGTCATTTCCACCTCTCCAAAGGTCATTTTCTTTTTTAAAATAGTTTGTTTGTCCAGTCTTGGGAAATGTCCCTCTGTGACACGAGCTTTGGCTTGGGACTGATCTCATCCCCTTAAGACAGGCTAATGCCCTCAGAGCCACCTGTCCGTCAGAGCAGTGTGAGTACATGCTCTCCTTCCATTTTTTGACCTCAACCACATTTATACCTGCAGAGGTGACATTCAGAAAAGATTTTATGTAAACCGTGTGTTTTTAAAGAAACTCGTACAATTCGCACATGTATTTTTTCTTATTTGGAGAAAACTGTGATATTTGGATGCAGTTTTTTATTTGCATGTTATTGCCCCCACAGCTAGCTATTGAACACACTGGATTATATAGATATGATTCAATTACTATTTAAAATATAATTGTAAAATATCAAGAGGACAGGGTGGACCAGCACATGACGGGGTGGACACATGCAGAACACACAAAGCATGACAAAATATGACAATGAAACATTTATTAAACTTCGGGAAAAAATAATATAATAATAATACATAATATAATTACATCCTCAATCACACTGATATACCCACCCCCCCACAAATGAACTACAAATTAATGCTATGTCCACCCATGTATCATGTATGTGTCATGCGTCTAAGTGGCCGATGGGGTGGACATTTTGAGCTTCAATTAGCATATTAGCTTACAACAAACTGTGACAAGCTAAATAGTTAGTCTGGTTGTTGAAGAGAATTTGGTATATTTAAACTTACATATTTAAAAAAAAATACTGTAATCTAATCACTTCTGGCATATTTTATGCCGACAGGGTGGACATGTTAAGCTTTGGCAAAGCACGTAAGCAAACTCATATGAAGAAAATTTGTCATTTGAAAAGTTACCAACTTATTCACCTCTCAGCCTTTGAGATTCCCACCACTGAAGAGACAAAAAAAATCTGTTATCCTGATGTCACTAAAGGGGATGACCTTTTCTTAAAGGGGCGGATTCCCCAACATGACAGGGTGGACAACCCTTCAAGGGACATGGACAAACTCTTTTTTACTAATTAAAAATATTGTTTTTATTACCAAATGATCAATACACTCAAATTGAGTAATCTCTTATTTAACAAAATATTAATAGGAGAACACAATATTATGATTTGACAATATTCTACTATCATTCAAATTTAATGAGCAGTGCATGGGACATAGCAAAATAACATGCACCCTCTTACACAAAAATAAAAAAGTAGAAAATGTATCTAAAGAGCCAAGTAATGCTTTTGTTATGAATATAAAAACTTAGCCTAATATGACACACCCTTTCATAGTCATGTTTATGTTATCATGGCAAATGAGTTATTTATGTACAGGACACCAAAAGGCACCCTACAGTGATATTGACCCATATGCAAGTATTGCACAATTTAATATCAGTATACAATTTAAGCACAATATATATTTATTTATTTATTTGTGTTAAGAAAACACACTAAACCACAAAGGAAAATATAGCAGCAGAAAAAAATGAAGACTAATAAAAAGACTTCTAAGCAAACTTTATTTTTCATTGGCAATCACAGGTTAGCAGTGTCAAGCAATCCCTGAATAATTGGCACGGTAAACAAAAAAGGCTTTTAAACAACATACGAGTATCCCGACATTCCATAACAAACAAAACAACACTAGATTACATATCTGAAAAATGCTTCATTTTTAAAAACAGGGTATAAAAATATGATAGTATATTTCAAGAAACAGACCTTGCAACATAATTCACAGTTCATTAATTGTCTTCAAAATATCTGACAGTGTTAAAACATTCATAATCTTCAATGGGTAATTCAGTCAGTGTAAACAGAGATGGGCTTTAGACTCTAAAAAGAGTTGATTCTCAATATTTTTAAATCAATATCTATTTATAAGAATCTTAGACAGATTTTAAATAGAAAGATTTATGGTGCTTTAACCACATTACGAGCTCATTAATGTGATTTCCCTCACCAAAGTCTAAATTTTAGACTGTCTTACAACACAAGATACAAAAGTGTTCCTCTTATACAATGTATGACCTTGCTCTTAAATAAAAACAGCTTTGTAATGAAATATTAGCATGTTACATTAGGCTCTCTAAGACCACAGGGCAACAATGCACACTCAAAGAGGACACGGAAAGCCATGAGTACACTCTTTATTATCTAAGAACTTTTGCTGCGTTCACGCGATGTTGTGAATGATTGATAAACATTTCTAGATGACAAACCAGGATGTCCTATTTAGAGCTATTCATGTCCTCGGAATTGGAATTATGAGTTTCTCTAGCAACACTTAACACCAAAATGTATCTGTGTAATATGAGTAATCAATAGATGAAACCACAATACAAAAGTTAATGAAAATGCCTTATTAATAATCTTATAGTTTATTCAGTGGGGCATTAGAAAGTTATTCTGTGCTAACTCTGTGCTAGCTACATTAAAATTATTTTTATTTACCGATTATTCTTGCATTATTAAAAAATGAACAATAGTTGGATACATAGGAATTATTGTATTATAATTATATATGAAATATTATGAAATAACTGTTTAACTACATTTTACTTCTGAAGCTGCTGCGATTTTTAGTGTTTCCACATGACGAGTTAAAAAAAAAAAAGTTTACAAGTTGCAATTATGAGCTCTACGACGAAATGAACGCTTTTTAGAAATCTAATAATTCTGGTAATTCCAATATGCTGTGAACGCAGCTATATTCTAGTGACATGGTAATGTACCATGGAGTAGAATGTAAATACACTGTACATAAATGATAACAATTCAGTAATATGGTATTTGGAGTACATGGAGTACCATGGTAGTACCATCTGATACAATACGTTTTGTAATGGCAATTTCCTTTAGCCACAAATATGTCAACTGAATATATCAACTGAAATGTTACATATACCTGCTTTTTGTAATCTATCCAAGAATATTTAAATATATAATTGATTTAAGTAGATTTTTCTAAACTATTGGCTACTTTTTGTTTAAGTGATGAATCTTTTTTGAGGATAAAAAGGATTTAAAGGGATAGTTGACCCAAAAAATGAAATTTACCCCATGATTTACTCATCCTCAAGCCATCCTAGGTGTATATAACTTTCTTCTTTCAGACAAAAACTCTTTTTGTATTCTGAAAGAAGAACTTCATACACACCAATGATGGCGTGAGGGTGAGTAAATCATTGGGTAATTTTCATTTTTGGGTGAACTGTCCCTTTAATATCGTTCACTAATATCCGCAAACACCTTTAATTGTCAAATAGCCGATCTTCGCATAGCTCCAGCGGCGACTTTGATGCTCCACCAAACACTTCAATGTTACTGTCAGTCCAGGCCACCACATTCCCAGGCATGTAGGATGAGCAGTTTGACATGGCAATGATATCCGTGGAGCGCAGGACCCGATCCCAGATATTAAAGTGGCTCAGTTCCCCCACAAAGGCCTGGGTTGCATCAAAGCGCCCCCCTACTACATCCTGTTGAGGCCATAAACGACAGGCCTCGTTAAGACAACAACAATAACCCCTTTTATTCTCTCTTAGAGGATGTGCAAGCTAACTCTACGACATTGTTTACTGCCTGAAGTCAAGTTTTATTTAAAGTGTAATGTTCATGAGTCAGTAACAATGTTGTGCAGGGATGGCATAAAATTACCGATACAGTGTGACTGTGCAGCAAAAACAGCTGTATCAGCTCTGCTTATGTTCTCACCTGCTCTTGGCCCAGGATGAGGACTCCTCCCTGCTTGATAGGGTGCCAGGGGGCCAGATTTTCTCCTGATCCCAATCTTTGGCCATCCTGGTAGGCTTCCCAAAGCCCATCCCTGGTAGTCCAAGTGATGCAGATATGGTGCCACCTCCCATCGCTCAGTGATAGAGGTAGTTGTGCCACCTATTTGACAACAGTAGGTATTACAATATTTCTTTTTTTCATACCAGGAATTATACTGCCAAGATGTAATACAACAAAAAAGCAGCATACAAGTAGCCATATGGAGTTGTTGTGGAATTAAAGGTATAGTTCACCCAAAAAATATAAAATTTCTTATCATTTATTCATCCTCATGTCATTCCAAACCTGTAAAACTTTTTTTTTTCCTCTTCAGAAACACAAAAGAAGACATTTTAAAGAATGATGGTTTTGGTTACCACTGGCTTCTATTGTGTGGGAAAAAGAAAAAACAATAAGAAAGTCATACAGGGTTGGAATGACATGAGGGTGAGTAAATGATGACAGAATTTGATTGTTTTGGGGGGGGGTGAACTAACCTTTTTACTCACTGTACACTGATGATCTTCATTTACCCTCTCAAATCTCATTTGCTGTCATGTTTTTTAAACTTTCCATGTTACTTTTCCAGGTCACATGAACCCAGTGGTGTTAGGCGTCAATGACGTCAATCCTCACGTGATGTTTCTAGACGGTATTAACAACTCTGATACTTTTATGCTGCTTTTTCTTTTTTGGAGTTTATCAGTATAAATCACCATACATTACATTTTTGTATTATTTTTACAACTATTTATTACAAAAGAAAAAGTATGAAAGTCATTTCTGTTGTTAATAAACATAAGAAAACATTAGTTTTCTTATACATTCATTTTAGTATTATCAATGTCAATGTAGAAGGTATAAGCTAAATGATGATTATTAATCTGCAATGTAATAATAGTCATAATAGTAATAATAATCATCATCAGAGTCCTCATAACATTCAATGGCAAATTTGCATTTCTTAATACGCAGGTTCGTTACCTTGTCATTGATGAGCAGTTCTATAGGGTTATGGCCCCATTCGATCAGTACAATCTCATTTGCCTGTCCAGGCACTCCATAGGAAAACGGGGTTCCAATGCCGGGGCTCGAACCTGACTTCAGCCACATGCAGATAGTGAAGGCGTACATTTCTGGCAGGCTTTTCTTTACTTGTCCAAAAAGGTAATTTGTGCGAAGAGGAAGAGAGATCTTGAAATTCTCTGGTGATTTAAACCCAGCTCCTCCTAAAGTCAAAAAGTGTGATTTATTATTGTGTCATCTCTGGAAGAATGCAGAAATATGCTGAACGACCACAAAACAACCTGATTACCCCCTCGGCACTGGAGGGTAATGGAGTCCCTTTTAAATCAAACATTAAGAAAAATTATGTGGACAGCTATGATCAAGAGTAGAGGAAACCAAGAGGTGAACTGTAACGCTATCATGAAGCACATAGTGCTAAATAGTTACAAACATTGAAATCAAATGTGTTACAACACTGCCTGGTCTCCTGTACTTGGGAAAGAAGACTGCCTAGAGAACAAAAGAGTGTTTTGTGCAGACCTTTCTCCAGTTCAGAGATCCTGTTCATGAGAGAGTTGAGAGTACTGTCAGTGCGCTGGCGATGAGCGACGGTCTCATTATATAGCTGGGACTTTTCTTCCTCAAGCTCACTGACCTTCTTGAGCAGTTGATTTTCCAAGTCCTCCAGTCTACGCTGCAGTAGATTTCTCAGCTCATTAGGAAAGGAGGCACCAGAGATATTGGCTCGCATTTGCTGTTGCTTTGAAAAGTTAAACAAACAAAAAAATGAAAAGGTTACTTTTCAAAGATTCCTATATGCAGCTGACAGAGTTGTACAAATGATTTTCTTTGCCTTATCGGACTTATTCTATTCTATTCTATTCAAATATGCTTTGTAATTCAGTTAGTTTCTTTTGTATGCATGTTTCTTTTTCATTTTTAATACTACAGCATGCAGTATAAATACAAATCCATTGAGAAAAAGAAAGTAAATACATTTCTGTTAGGGACAAAATAAATAGCTAGATCTCTAGGTTCAATGTTTTTTGAACGACACAGGTAAGTAAACAGCTACAAATATTTTTAAGAAATGCAATTGTTGATAATTAATGGAAATGGAATACACTTCAAGGTCAAAAAAGCTGTGGTTTCCCAAAAAATAGCCTCTCCTGGACCGATGCGCTCTGAACAGGCAGAGACTGCACGGGGCAACTTGTATCCTTGTCAATGGGGACTGCAGTACATAGAAAGCGCTCACCTTTTTCATTCTGTCCATATGCAACTTTTACACACGTCGGTGCATAGATGCATATGAGTCCGGCGAGCAGATGAAGCATTTTGGAGCGATGTAGTAAAGGCGCGCGGAGAGGTTCAATAATGCCAAAGTAATACTGTGTTGAATGCTGCTGCTGCTGCGCTTACAAGAGCGACACAGTCTACAAATGAACGTCAGTGATTGGATGAATCTGATTGGATGTAGTATTAACGTCACTGGCCCTTAGAGTAGCTATAAAATAAAGTTCCTTAAAAAAAAAACCAAATCCAACACGTTAGCGAGAGAGTATTTTAACACCTAGTGCTTTGAGTCTTTGATTCTGTTATTTTATTTATAGCAGGTGGCACATTTTGTTTAAATGGCTGTATACATTGAGATAGCATGCTCATATACATTTGCTATAGTTAAATTAGTTCAATTTTAAAACTTATTCTTACAATTTTTTTTTCCAATGACAAAAAATGTCATTGTTATCCAACGACATAGTTCACAACCTATGGTACCACTAATAAAAATGGACATTCAATTGTGTGTGTGAACTAACTGCAGTAATAAAATTGTTAACATGATGATTACCATCCTCAAATAGCTACCACCCCCACTGGAAACTAAAAGCAATACATAAAACATAGGCTCTGAACCACATAACAGACAGTGTGAGTGTGTTAGTCATGTTCACATTTGAAGTACATTAGAAATATAGTCTCACAGTAGAAGTACATTGGAAAGTAGTGTTACAAACCCTCCACATATGCTTAAACATGATATTTCTAGTTCACTTAAACATTTAGATGAAACGCTTTTGTGGATATTCTATAAAAATTATATTGCAAATTACAAAGAAAACTCAGTTCAGATGGTACGCAAATCAAATTGGAAATTTAAGGGGGTCTGAATACTTTCCGTACCCACTGTACATTTGCTATAGTTAAATTAGTTCAATTTTAAAACTTATTCTTACAATTTTTTTTTCCAATGACAAAAAATGTCATTGTTATCCAACGACATAGTTCACAACCTATGGTACCACTAATAAAAATGGACATTCAATTGTGTGTGTGAACTAACTGCAGTAATAAAATTGTTAACATGATGATTACCATCCTCAAATAGCTACCACCCCCACTGGAAACTAAAAGCAATACATAAAACATAGGCTCTGAACCACATAACAGACAGTGTGAGTGTGTTAGTCATGATATTACTCATTATAATCAGTGATGCTGTCTACGCTGGATGCGGCGCGGCGCGGCGCGGCACGGCACAACAAATTCCTGACAGAAAACTGCTGCTGCGTTCTATTTATGATGTATTGACACAAATTTCAAGTGATTTTCAATGGTCACTTTGTCGCGTCCAGTGTAGACAGACTTTAGCTGTTGTTGTGTGGCACATCCGGTGTAGACGGTGTTGCTCACCTATCGAGAAGAAACAAAGCAACCTCGGCATCCGATTGCAGGCCTTCCCGCTCCTTGAGTTCTCTCCAGCGCTGGAAAGCTGATCTGATATGTTCACGGGTCCTAATCCTTGCCTTATCCTAAGCCTTCTTTTAATAAATCCTTCTGTCGTCGCTCGGCTCGGCTAATGTCCTGTGCACTGAACGCTCTCTCCTCCGCATCTTGAGTAGACACGCCCCTTACTGCTGATTGGCTACAAGTTTGTTTTGGTATTCTGCCCTACTCAGTTTTCTAAAGCGTTTTTGAAAAAATGCATACCCCACCTTTAAGTGGCATATTAAAGCAATAAGCCCCAAGAAGCCGTGCATGGTTTACAGTGAATTTATAACAGCTAAGGGGCGTTGTTAGGCACGACGCGAAGCTAACCCCCTTAGCTGTTAGAAATTCACTGTAAACAGTAAAAACAGTAAAATGAGAATTAGTTATTAATGTTGAGATCATCTGTGCATTTTCTTATGGTGATGTTAGGTATAATGGGCCAATAGGCATGGTCAAGACTTTAATCAAACAGTATAAAGCATGACACTAGCAAAGCCAAGTTCTGTTTCCAGGAATTTATGAACTGATACAATGTACAGTATACTACCCCGAATTCAGTGAGATTTGTAAAATATCCTTATTATTTGATCTCTTACACTTAAATCCTGGTCCTGGATCCTGTACAGCTTTTCTTTGGATGACAAAAAAAAACAAAAAGATGCTGATGACCAAATTTATGTCAAACACTCTGAGCACATACCCTAATGCATAGAAAATAAACTATGTCCTTCTTTGGGCTTTAGTGCAACTGATTTTAAACTGAAAATATGTTGATTGCAGGTAGGGTATGACTTTTCTGACATGATGCACCACGACAAGTGTGGCACAGATTACAGCAGTGTTATGCACTTTGCGTTGCTACCCGTGAGCTGCAAGAAATACAGCACAACCATTCCGGTCCCCTGAAACTGAACCTGTTTCACAGGTTATTCACTTAATGAACTCACAGAATGCATCAGAGCAGATACTAAATCAATCAATGACTCACTGCAAGTTACATTATCATCATTTCTTTAATATATCCAAGGCTGCATACTGTGCCACCAAGAATACAATATATTTTGTTTTTATTTGTATATAACAATTGGCCTATATGAGGCCTATTCACGGTCATGTCTTTGTTATTTCATAACTAAAAAAGAACAAATGCATTTTCTTTTCTTTTTTCATATTTCAAGTTTTTGGTGGGCCCCAAGATTGTTTTTACCTCGCTAGGAGATTCATCGATGAAAAGGTTTAGAAATCTTTGGGAAGTCTTCTACGCTTCAACTCATCAGGTCATTAGCAGAGTGCACATGAACTAAACTGGACTTATCAAATAAGGTACACATCTAAAATATGCAGTGCTGAGAGCTGTCCACAGGACCAATGCTCTAGATGATTTATTAAAAAGTAGCCTGATATCACATGGATACACTGTACAAAAATACAACTGAAGATACAAATTTCAAAGAAGCGGCACATTAGTCCTTGCCCATGAATAGAGCACTTACATGACTAATAACATCTTATACAAGCGTGTTTATGAGAGACGTAAAAGCCAGTGAATAAACAAGGCCTTCACAAAACATATCTAAATGAGCTGATGCACACTGCAGAGAAAATGTTATCCAGATATTACACTATGAGCCTGATACCCTAAGCTCATTAAACTGAAAAGATGAGAGCTCTGTTTACAGCAGAAACACATTTGTGTTGTGAACCTGTGACCCTCTTTACAACAGAATGTGAGTCATCAGGTGTTCAGTGAACATCTCTGTGCCCTCACAGCCGAATATTCTTTAGATTTAATTTTTTTCTAGTTTGAATCTATTTCTTTACATCAGAAACTTAGCATAATGCTGCATAGTCATTTTTAAAGTGAAATAAAAATCTGTTTTCTAAATGCAAGCTATATCTCTGAGTGAGTGATTAATCAATGCATGTTTCATTTTTAAAATATTTGTTTTGACCTCATCATTTTTAATCAAAATGTCTCAATCAAAAAGCTGTTTCACTCAGATGTGAGTCAAAAAAGATCCATCACTACTTCTGTTTGATCATGACTGTAATATTTAGACTGGTGTAGAAAACAATCAGTCCTAGGTTCCATTTTTTCTCAACAGTGTGTAAGAATTGAAATGGACCCTATTCACAAATTATGATGACATTTTTACACAGTTTTTTATATTGTACTTTTAAAAAATTAAATGCCACATTATAACACTGTACTTTGTGTTTTATTACTTTGGCATTAAATTACAGAAAACTGGTTAACGCTGGTGTGTGAGTGTTTCTTATACAACGGCTGAGGGAGGGAGTGACAACAAATTTGACACATTTCTTTTTTCTGACCAAACCTGGAAATGTAAAAAGGGTTCATCTGCATTACTTTATTGCATTACATTACAACTTTTTTTTTAATAAATTCATGTAAAACTATCACATTAATCTGTTCCTTCTTTTATGTTCCCAGCCCAGCAGAGGGCCTATTGAAATGATAACGTAACCTTTCACCATCTGGGCTGTTGAAGCTCCACCAGGATTGCATCTGATACCTGATACCTTAATTAGTATGAATGGAAATAGCTTACAAGATGACACGAAACTTAAAAAAATTAATAATAATAAAAAGGTTTTACAAGTCTCAACATGCTGTATACCGCTTTCATTGTCATGTTGTAGCCTATAAAGTAAACAAGAGTGAACAAAACAAAACTGTGCTATCATGCTTTCATTTTGAGAAATGCCACTTGGTTTAACATTTTCTCATGTAATGACGTATATTTTGACTGTCATTACATGAGAAAATGTTAAACCAAGTTGCATTTCTCAAAATGAAAGCATGATAGCACACATTTCATACAAAATATTGTTTAATATTAATATAAATATTAATAATGCAAAACATGAATATAAAAAAACAATTCTGGTTGTTAAATGTTACAGGAACCTGTCCATTGTTAATGTGATTACACCTGCATAGGGCATTTGTGTGAACTTGGGGAAATCTGATTTCATACATCCACTGAAATTTCAGTTGTCAAAATCAAAACAATCACAAACATGGCAAATTAAGATTAAGATGTAGCATCCATCATGTGTTTGCAGATGCCACATTTGTTTGATATTTCGTTATCTCCTCCACGAAATTCTGATGTTTTCATGTGTTGTCCTTTTGGGATTAATACACCTTGTTTCTTTGAGTTGTTCAGTTTTTCTATCACCTACTTCTACTAAAACTCACCCAAGTGGGGAATTTAGTGAATTTCTCTGAGACTATACATGCCACAGTTTTAAGTCTGGATGTCCTGTAAAGAGCACCTTCAGGGCTTTTCAGAGATATTAAATGTTTGGATGTTTCACCATGACCACTCCCTCTCCTTGGTCTTCAGAAATGTCTGATATTAATTTAGTGACATTCTTATGGAAATATGATCATATTTTGTAATTGTCATTTAAATCGGACTCATTTTTAAAATGTGTGCCATAAATCAACATCTCAGAAAAATGTTATGGGGTTTCAAATCAAAATATGACTTTCTGTTACGAAACAGGAGGTTGATTTCATAGATGTCCTCATATGAGGACACCGGGACTAAAAGCATGTTTATTACGTTTAGTGAATTTCTCTGAGACTATACATGCCACAGTTTTAAGTCTGGATGTCCTGTAAAGAGCACCTTCAGGGCTTTTCAGAGATATTAAATGTTTGGATGTTTCACCATGACCACTCCCTCTCCTTGGTCTTCAGAAATGTCTGATATTAATTTAGTGACATTCTTATGGAAATATGATCATATTTTGTAATTGTCATTTAAATCGGACTCATTTTTAAAATGTGTGCCATAAATCAACATCTCAGAAAAATGTTATGGGGTTTCAAATCAAAATATGACTTTCTGTTACGAAACAGGAGGTTGATTTCATACATGTCCTCATATGAGGACACCGGGACTAAAAGCATGTTTATTACGCATTTTGGGAGACACAACAAATGAATAGGGAAAGAAAATATATTTCAATATTCCTATGAAATATTATATATTATTATGAAAATCTTGTCAATTATTACTCTCAATATTACACTTCATTTTTCATTACATGTTGCCCCAAAAACACATTAATATGCAAATTAGATTTAGTTTATAGATCCATTATATATAATGAGAAAACCTGTTTGTGGCCATTTTACACACATTTTGCATGAAGAAAAATGGTATATCAAATCATTCTGTTATAACATAATTGAGAATTATCGTTATACAAAGATGGTAAAAAAAATGCTGAAAACTAAAAATGTATTAAAACATTTAACAAAAACTAAAAAATTGTTTTTGCCTATGCATGTTCATTCATGCCTTTTTATTTTATTTTTTTAAAGAAATTGAGTCCCGATGTC